GGCACGGCTGATTGGTTCCTGGGGTAAAGCTGCCCAGCCTGTCGGCGACGGCCTCAAGCTCAGTCTGCCTCTGGGCTGCAGTCTGATTGGCTGTGTGCCAGCGTGAGTCTGGGATAATAAACCCAAAAAGGCGGGAGTGAAAAAACAACAAAACATAAACCACAGAATAAAATCCTGGCAAATGTGTATTTTTATTCTTCACCGATAAAGTGACAAAAAGGAACAGGCTGTTTGTTGTTCTGTGCTTTTTGTACAAGGTTTTCTGTATAGTTTCCTTATTAGGCAATTCTACACCAGTACAGTGCTGAATAAGGATGATGGTGAGGAAATCAGCATCCTCGACTTAAACCTGACTCAGTGTCAAGAACAACACTGATAAAGCAAGACATTTGATTCCTTTGTCCCTCCTCCAACTTAGGTGTTTTTCTCCCTCTGACTCATGTTCTGGGCATCCAGCAGTGTGTGTGTGTGTGTGTGTGTGTTCAGTCCACATGGATTTGAAAAGACATTACGAAGTATGAAATATAAAAGGCCCCTTCTTGGATTTCACTTTAAATATTTCTGTCTTTGTTACCTCATAGGAGGCTCTGGTAAAAATATCAAGTATGCAAGTGAACCAACTGCTTTGACAGGAACACTTCCCACTCTCTCCCTGGATAACATGGACCTCAGCTTCTCTGTCTCTTACACTGCTTCAGAATTTACAATATTCCATTTTGAAAAGCATGCTGTAGTAAAATGCCTCATAGCTTTTCCTACTCTTCCTCCAGCAGTCTACCTCTAGAATCTGCACAGTATTTCTGTGACCCCCGACATTCCTCTTCAATACAGCATGTGAAATAAAATGCCACATCTTCATTAATATTCTTTCACCCATCTTTCTGCTCTAGTTTTTGCCTCTGGGAATCTGTGTTACTTGAGACAGAGCTCTAATCAGTTCTGTAAAGTGGCTGTCTCATCAACTCATGTATTTATTTTAGTCTGCTGCAGAATGTACCAATCTCTTGCAGCTGTTGTCTCCAGGTGTCTGCCTCGGGTGAATCAGGGTTGTCAGCGATCAGCTTCCTCAGCGTGCTCTTCAGCTCCTCCACCTTCCCAGAGTGTTCAGCCAGCTCTGAGAGCAGGGCCTGGGGAAGGACAAGACTTGCTAAAAGCTAGAAAAGCACCAACTTCAAAAGACTATTTAGTAAAACAAGCTCCCCAAAAGAAAGTGGACAGTTCTGATGTTTCAATTTGGCACAGATTTTCAGAGCTGTAACTGGTTGTGATTTTCTGTTAAAAGCATTTTTTAGCTAAAAAACACAAAGGAAGGTGCAGGGTTGTAATAAAGCAGGAGATTTTACTACAAAGGGTTTTTCTAGAATAAGGGCCACAGACCAAGGATCAGTGGATCCAGTCCTTTACCTTGTTCTTCTGGGCCTGGGCACGTACCACCTCAGGTTTGGAGGGGGAGGTGGTGTGTCCCTGTTTCAGGCTGTCCTCTTTAACTGCCAGCCAGCTCTTGAGCTCCTCAGTGCCCTGTCTGGCTTTCTGCCTCAGCTCCAGTGAGGCCTGCTGGCGACCAAGACGCTCCTTCAACTCCCTGCCCAGAGTCTCATATCGACCATTCACATCAGATACAGCTACTTGGAGCTCTGTCAGGTCTAATGGCAAAACAAAAGAAGGGCCCATAGATCAGTATACAGCAGAATAGAGGAGACTGGAAAAACAAACAAACAGATGAAGTAGATCAGTTACTGTGACTAGGTGGGGTGGATTAATTTAGACAGCAGAGAGGCATGCAAGACTGCGACCCTGCCTCCTGGACTCAACTCTGGGTTGTCATAATTTAGGTTGTAAAACAAACTCGTCCAGATTTCTAGATAAGAGAGCCGCACCGTCCAAAGTGGAATGGATGCCATCTCTACTAATCAGGCCAGGTTTTCCCCAAAATGTTTTCCAGTTATCTATGAAGCCCACATAGTTTTCTGGGCACCACCTAGACAGCCAGCGGTTGAATGACGACATGCGGCTAAACATGTCATCACTGGTCAGACTGGGCAGGGGTCCAGAGAAAACTACGGAGTCCGACATTGTTTTAGTGAAGTTACACACGACTCAACATTAATTTTAGTGACCTCCGACTGGCGAAGTCGGGAGTCATTAGCGCAAATGTGAATAAGAACCTTACTGTATGTACCTTTATCCTTAGTCAGCAGCTTCAAATAGGATTCGATGTTGCCTGCTCAGGCCCCAGGAATACATTAGACTATGGCCACCAGTGTCTCTAACTTCATGTTTCTGACTATGGACTCTCCACTTACCAGAGTTATTTTCTCAGCGGGTGTGTCGCTGAGCGGGGAAATTTGAAACGTGAACAGGCAAGTGATGCACCGTGGGTAGTGATAGTCCTCTGACACCCGAGGCTCCGACACATGCGCGGTAGCTCATGAAATAATTGTATCGAACAACTGTGCTGAGGCGTGTTTTGGTCATGTGACTACAGTAGTGACATTTGAATCACTTGAGTGACGTTCGAAGCAGTTGGGTGCCTCGGACGTCATACAAATCAGCTGATTGGTTCGGTTTGTCATGTGAATCACTTTGCTGGATAGAGTGTGTTCAGGGACAGGATATCCCTATTTAGTGGCGTTCATTTGAATCTGTCTTTGCAGAGCAGGTTGGTTTGTTGCCGTTAGTTGCTTTGAGAGTTAGTAGTGTTGTAACAGATTGTGTATTTAGTGAAGAATCACTGTAGATAGAGAGATAGAACAATAGATAGCTAAATAGTATGTTACATAGAGAAATAAATAAATTAGTTACATAGTTAGATACCACTAGATATAGTTACATAGATAGTCCTAAATAACATTAGATAAGATATATATATATATATAGATATATAGAGATAGATATAGATATTTAGATAGAGAGAATGAGAGAGAGAGAGAGAGAACACATTATCTAGCTAGATATACATATCTAGATAAGTTACACAAGCACACCCTGTTGTTCATACCCATGAACCTCTTTACCAATGAACCCCAAAACAAACTTTGCAGAAGTCCATACTATAATCTGTATTTGCACCAGTCCCATGTGAAAATTACATCTTTCTGAATTTGTAGAGCACATCTCATGAATGTAGCAGCACCATTCAAATGTTTCATAACACAAAATATAAGTGAGGAGTATATAGGGTTACAATCAGACATGCCAAATAAGGAACATGGTCTTCAACATGAGTTCATGTTTATTTTATATTTTACTGTGTCAGCTTGAAACCATACAACTATGTAGGGTAGTCAAACAGGAATGTGCATGGCAAATCAAATCCCAAACAATCCATGAACCAATGACACGTCTTCATTGCACTTCATTTTATTGACCACTACTCGAGCACTGGGTCATTTAAGCCTCAAGTAATGAACCATTTTTGTGAATACGGTGTCTAAGCTTCAACAAAGCCTCGATCAGCCATCACTAACCGTGGGCATTCGTTTCAAGCTACGACTCTTACGAACTGTCACCCAGCTACCTGGCTGAGATCCCGGCTGCTAGGGAGGCTCTGGGGGCAGCTAGCTTGGGCTAAGCTACGTCTAGGAGGCTCCGCACCGGCTACATAGGCTTAATCTAGCTGGGCCGTTCTCCATGGTGTAGAGCCGCGCTTCCAAATCGGTGAACCTCGCCTCCAATGCTGCTAGCATCTGACATTTATTACATGTACCATTATTGCTAAAGGAGGCAGAGGAATAACTGAACATGCAACACTCCGAGCAAGAGAAAGGAGGAGAGGAAGAGGGGGAAACATTGCTCTCAACTAAGCTACTAGTTTAGCTAGTTTCTATGCTAGCCAACCTAAAGTAGCAAGTTAAATTTGGTAATTAGCACGAACTTCTGTAACACAGGTGCTTAAGTAGTGCAAGTGGATGTTGTCACTCAAAAAATTTAGTTAAACCTAAAAAATAGTGAGCTTAATTCCTAAACAACCTGGAAGCAAGCACAATACAGTGCAGGCACCGAAAACAGGAAGTGAGTATGGTTACCACAGGAAACAGCAGTCTGTCCAACATCTGTGGATATGTTGATGTAGTACCAACAAAGGGAGTAGGCTAATGAGTACTATAGTCGTACTAGAATAGATCGTGGTGTCTGAGACTAAGACTGTCCTCATATTTTTTGACAGAAAAATAAATTGCCACTGACAGATGTTTCGCATGGGCAGAAAGCTGACAACCATAAGGGACATGGGTATCAGAAAAACAGAGAACAATGCCCTAATCTGCCAGTGTGACCATTAAGAGAAAACCAGTACAGATGGGGTACATCAGATAATTGGGGTTAAAGTTTATCATAGACACTAATCTGAAGGAGAGATTAGGCAGGAAAGAGAGAGGAAGAGAGAACCCACCTTTACAGGTGTGAATGCCATTGACACTGCTGGGACCTGCTGAGCCATTGATTTGAGGAGCACCTGGGAGAGAGACACACACCTGACTGAGCACAACACACTCATGCACGCAAGGTCACACAAACAGGACTAGTGATTAGCAAACTTTAAATTAATATCATTCTTTTCTGGCTTTTCATGAATAAAAACTCAGGAAGGTGAGGTTTCAATAAATCACTAGATCAAGCATTAGCATGCTGCAGGGTTATAGGGGACAACAGACTTTTGTTAATCTCACAAAAATGCTCTCATGTGGAGATTAAATCATTTAAACTGAAGGAAAGAGGGAGAATGGTTTTGTTTGGCAGCGTTTCCGTCCTTGCTCTTACCAGTTTTGGTCTGAGGAGCAGTGATGTCGATGATGAGGGACTCCAGCTCGGAGCCCGTCTTGTTCAGCTCCTGAACCCTGGATCCCTGTGACTCCCAGTCTCTCAACAAGTCCTGAAGGCATAATGCATCTCATTGAGTCACTGAGCCTTTAAAAACATGTTCCTAAGCAATTTCCTTTTGTTTACATAAGCAGTACATGAAGGATTTGCCACCCCACTTTTTGTCCCTATTTTGTAGTTGATACGTTACTGAACGCAAACCTTGAGCTGCTGAACTCTTCTCTGCAGACCCTCAGTGTTGAGGTTGGCCTCTTTGGGGGTCAGCTGGTCCTGTACTGTCTCAAGCCACCTGAGGAGGGAGCCAGAGAGGCTGCGGAACTGGAGCAGCTGCTGCTCACAGGCCTGGATGGCAGCAAACCTGTATCAGAAAAACAAAAGACAAGGAAGAGAATGGCGTAAAGAACAATGACAAAGTAGGAAGCAGAGATGAATATGGCAATAATGGAAGGGAATTGCCATAAATAAAGAACAAATATGAACAAGGGGACAGGAAAAGAAAAGGAAACAGGGAGGATGGAGAAAATTCAATATAAATCATGTTTTTATGTTTTCATTGCAAAGTAAAGCAACCATATTATCTCTCTTAAGCTGGTTTTACATGATGTTCTCCCACAACCAGCACTACCGACAGGGAACATTTCAAGGTCTGCACCAGCCTCAAGGCAGCATTAACACAGCCCAGACCTCCCTCTGTTTATAGGTGATCCATCTTGAGCTGTAGCCGAAAAAGTGCTGACTGTCCATAGACAAAACATAGAGAAGTGGTCTGGCATGAAGCAGTATCATTATCCCAGTGCTATTTTCTCCCCCTCTGGATTCAAGGCTGGGAGTCATACGAGAGGTCAGTTTATAGGATGGACAATATCCACTGTGCTTATATTAGCACCCGGGCCAGCTCATCAGCCAACACTGGTCTCACAGATACAGCACTCTCATACTGTACAGTACTTGGAAACCAACTGCTCTGAAATATCATGCACCACAGTAAATAATCCACAATATGTCCATTAAACAGCCTATATTGGCAATTTTGTATTGTGACTGGCTCACCAAACAAGTATAATCCAATAAATTTGAACTGGCTG